ACCCAAACCATTCTATGGTTCTGTGATTCTAGCTTTGGGATGAGCAGCTCTTGATTTGGATGCTGGGGCCTGACTCAGCTCGGAGCAGGGCAGCCTCTGGGCCTTTGCTCCCTTGTGTGTGAGGGAAGGCACTGCAGCACTGGGGGCTCGGGCTCTCTGCACTTCTCTGACCCTTGTATGCTTTCTGGACAGCTTCTGCAGCACCTGAAGCGGATCATCTCTGACCTGTGCAAACTCTACAACCTCCCCCAACATCCAGATGTGGAGATGCTGGACCAGCCTCTGCCGGCAGAACAGGTGAGTGCCTCGGAAGGGGCTTTCCAAGCTCGGAAAGGGAGCTCTCTGGAGCCTGCTTTTGAGGCATGGAGGAGGAACGGGGCAGCTGAGGGGTTGATCTCCTCTCCCTGGGCTGGATCCCTGTCCTGGGAGATGCCAGCCTGCTCTGCTGGGCTTTGGAGCTGCTTAACTGCTCATGCACAGCTTCCTGGGAAGGCTCTTGGCTTCACTCTGCTTTTGACGTGGTTCTGTGTTTAAATGGGAGAGTTTGGGAATGCAGGAGTGTTGCCTCAGGAAGCTGAGAGCACGATCTTAGAATCCCAGAATGGTTTGGGTTGGAAAGGACCGTAAGATCATCCAGTTCCAACCCCCTGCCGTGGACAGGGACACCTCACACTAGGACCGTGTTAGGCTTCATCCACCCTGGCCCTGATCCCTGTCAGGGACGGAGCATCTACCACTTCTCTGGGCACCCTGTGCCAGCGCCTCAGCACCCTCACAGGGAAGAGCTTCTGCCTGAGATCTAACCTGAACTTCCCCTGTTTCAGTTTGAACCCGTCACCCCTGGTCCTATCTTCATCTCTGGCCTTTTGTCCCTGCAGAGCACACAGGAAGAAGTGTCTTCTGAGGAGGAAGATGAAGAGATGCCCGAGGTAAGTGCCCCCTTGTTGTGTGAGGGAGTACACCGGAGAGCCCAGCGCAGGGAGATGCCTGCAGAAAGGTGCGAGGCCCAGGGACTGTGCCTGGGAGGAGCCTCCGAGGCTCCAGACTGGGCTCAGCACTTGGCTGCTCCTGGGCCATGGACGGGAGCCGTGTGCTCACACGCCGGGGCCGGCAGAGCCAGCTGAGCGTGGAGCCCCTCGGGCAGCGTCTCTGCTAGTGCCGCTGCGCTCCTGAGCCCGCAGCGTCCCCCGGAGCAGCACTGCCCGCACGGAGAGCACACTGAGCCTGGGGCTGCCACGGCAGGGGGGAGGGGGGCTGGCTGGGGAGCACGG